CGAATCAAGATTTGAATAAAAGACTTCAAGAATGTTATGTTTTTATTATAATTAGCTGCAATTTATCAGACTTGAAGTGGGGGTACGATATGATCTGCTCTTCATTTGAAATCTCCTCTTGATTTCACTCGATCGTACACTTCAAATTACAGACGCTGTAGGCCACTGGAAAAAGAAGATGATAAAAGGATGGCGAGGGAGAATTGCAGATCGATTTTGAACTAATAAAAAGGGACTTGCGCTCGATTTCTTAAATGTTGAAGCTGCAATTCAAACTGTTGCTGGAAAATGTTTTTTGACGAGTTAAAAAGGAAAAAGAAAGGACCATAAGACCAAGATCCCTCTAGCACAAATTTTGGCAAAATTCTTTTTTTTTTTTTTTAAAATGACTTTCTAATTTCCTTTTGATTTCGTTAGCGTTCCTAATAAAACCTATTAATTTGTGTGCTTAAGAGAAAAAAAGTCAATTTTTTAATATTATACTTGGTATAGGAGACCGCAGAGCATTGCAGGAAGACGTACTGGCAACCCCTTATTCAGCATTGTTAATCTGCTCATGAAAATATTGTTCTCGTTTGTCCTAAGTTCTCTTTAACTGATCAAGACTTCAAAATATTCTGAATTTTTTTCTATAGGAGCTAATGTTATTTCTCAATCCAGCATGTTGAAGCGATAATTTTCTGACTACAGTTACTGCGATAAGGCAAATTTTGAAAAGTTACAACTGTCAGCAAAGAAAGAATGCCAAGATTTGCAGTTGCACATCAATATTTTTAGGGAAGCCAGCCTCTAATGGAACGCCGAGCAGAAGTGTTTTCTTTCTAAAAGCCTTTGCCTTCGAATAATGAAGTGAAAAATTCTGTTCACTTGAAGAAAACTGATATTAGACGTTTCTTTTGTCGGCTGTGATTCAAGCAGCAGCGATGAAACAAGAAAATGAAAGGAAAGTATAAAGGAAACATCAGTGTTGACAAGTAACGGCGACACTGACTGATAACGGCAGGGTAAAGGTGAAAAAGAAGAAGCAAACGAAGAACAAGGTTAACAAAGTGAGGAGGGTTTGGCACAGCGATATATCACAAAGCTGCTCGAATCCAGACAGTGGAGCGGATTTTTACAGTACCGTATTACCTCCACCCCACTCTTCTTGGCGCTTCACTGTAATGATCTCTATTCAATACTAAACCTAATTGTCTTCTTCCGGTTTTGATAAAAGAATATGTTTTTTTTTCTAGCAACTGACATTACATTTTTCTTTAGCATTTTTCAAGACTTTTATTTTTTTTCAAAAAAAAGAGATAACCTATTTGAGTTTTCAAATCTATCTTTTTCACAGTACTCTAATATTTTTACTTATTTACTTCTTCCTATTTTTTAGTTCAAGATAATTTTAGAGTCGCAGCTTACTTTCTTCGTTTGTATCAAGGTGATGCGTAATAAAAGCAGAAGGAAATTTCGTTATATTTTTTCCTGTGAGAAAAGAAATAACACAAAAAATGCTTTTTGTTTGTAGGCAGTAGAGAGCTGATGCAAAGTATTTTTAAAATTATTCCCATCAGCTCACGTTTTCTGTCTGATGTTAGCAAAAGTGAAAAGAGCGAAATGTTTGCACGTTACTAAATAGCCATTCTTAAATTAGTAGTGGTGTGCATTTTTAATTATTTAGTTATTGTTTAATCCTATTAATTGTTTTTTGTTTGTTTATGTGATTAATTATCTACTTATTTACCTATTTATTTATTTACTTGCTTACTTAATTATTTACTTATTTATTTATTTATTTATTTATTTATTTGTTTATTTATTTATTTAACATTATGTGGGGAGCAAAACACTTTTTACGTATGGAAATGATCACATGAAAAAGTGAACATATACTACGTATTTTTAGAACATTTCAAACATCTGCTGTTAAACTCTTCTGGATGAAGTTATTTGTTTCTTGTTATATTTTATCATTATTAGTCAATTATTGAACCTATTAAGTCGTTGTTACAGCTTCTATTCTTTTGTAGCAAAACTTCAGGACTTTAAAAATCTTTACAAACTCATTCTCCTTTATATTCACATTTTATAAAGAAATCAAGCCTACTGTCACTACTAGTTTCAAAGTTAAAAGTCTTTTTAACTCTTTTTAGCTACCTAATACACCAGCTGTTCTTTGCTGCTTCCTCTTCTCTTTTGCCTTTGATAAGCGTCTATATTCACCTCATATCGCTGAAACACTGGCACTAACTACAAACAACAAAATCGGCAAGACTTCATTTGTCGTCACTGCAGCTGATAGCCTGCCGTTATTTGATGCATACTATCACGTATTGGTGATTCCACACTGTGTTCGCCTCATTTTCTTGCTGCTGTTGCTTGTTTTTCTTGTTGAACAGTGCTGTGGTGTCTAAACTCAATCTTTCCATAAGATTTAAAAAATGCTGTTTTTCAGTAGAAAAGGGGAAAAAAGTTTAAAAAATATTTTTTAACGTCTGGTAACTGCATAAATAGATCACCATCTATCCGTAGAAACATTAATGTTGTTGAATTGCTGCCTTTGCTTCTGGTTCGGTTCAGCATTCAATAAAATAGAAGAGATTCTTACCGATTTCGCTCGGGCAAAGTTTGTTAGTGCCGATATCTCATTTTTTTTACCATCTGTTCTTGTATTATCTATTATCTTTGTCTCTTCAAAATGTCCTGATTTTTTACAGATAGAGACCTTCTGTTGCTTAAATGCAACAAATAAAGCTTATTCAAAAAATTACAGACGATGTGAGACAATTTCAGCAGAAGTTCAAAGTGAACAGCCTTTTTTAACTGCTTTTTCAGAGAATACTGCCAGTGATACTCCTGATGTTTTGGAAACACAGCAATAATTTCATTTCAAATCTCAGTCTGCTAATTACTATAGCGTGACGGTCGATAATTTATTTGAAGTTTCCCTGTAAGTTTAACGTAATCATAGCAAAAGCTTGGAGAAATTTATTAGTAATTTATCAGCAAACGTATAAAAATCGAAAGAAAGTCAGAAAAAGTATTTTAGCAAAAAATGTTAAACCCTGGAGCAAAAACAAAACAAGAAAGCAAAGGGGAATTAGGTTCATAGTACTCAAAAGTCACGTACTGTTCCGACAGTACAATATTATTTTGACCTTTACAGTGAAAAAACTTTGATAAGCTCTCAAATATAATTCTGACATTTGTATCATGTATTTGATGAATGCAGTATCAACTAGTTTTCGCACAAGATTTCTAAAAAAGTTTTTGCACCGTGTTGTGCCACAAAGCCTAAAAAGGTGTTGGATAAGTACTAGTTCTAATGAATTTTGAAAGCGGTAGGCTAAGTTGTGCCAAAAAAACGTGCAGTTCTCAGCAGAATTTGGCCTTTTTATTATCAGAATCATTAATAGAAATCTTTGCCATGTTGCAACGTTCAGGTTTACATTTTTAAGCATCAAAGATTACCCGTTGTTGGTAGTATGAATACATTACAGTTTTTCTTATATCTTTATTTCGTTGCTTCGCCGTGCATTTTCCTCTGCTTTCCTGTCTCTTCTCATCTTTGACTGGAAACAGAAAATAAAGGAGGACAGCGGCTCGCAGCCTAGAAGTTTCTGGAGGAAGGTCTCTGCACATTTGCCTTCATCCTCCGTTTTTGAATATTTATTCTTGAGAAAAAGAGGCTTTAGAGGCCTTCCCACTTTTGCGGTCACGTGGCTAAACCTAATCAAGAGGGAAAAATAAAAAGCGGAAGGCATTGCTTTATGATAGAGATTTTCTGCTATTTAGGTACTAAAGATATTAAAGACTTGATTCTTTAAAGTTAGGGAACGGGAGTAAAATTGTGTTGATGCTGAAAAACGACTTTTAAAGTTTACGTAATGATGCAGTCTAATTTTGAACTTTTAATTACAAGAACTGCTTTTACAAGTGGTGCCTATTTTGGACAAGTAAGAACCGCCGCTTTCTTGATATTTGTACACATGTTGACGTACAATTTTTTTAAAACTTATCTGTTTTTTCTTATTTTTTTCCATTACGGACTCATTCGTTACATATGCGCATCAGTGGGACTGGTCGTCAT